TTAATTACACAAATGAAGTTATCGACAATATTCACATATTTTCTTGTAGATTTACAAATTGGAGTAAAATTACACTTGAAGTTACAAACTGAACAATGTGCGTCGTTTGCTTGACATACCGCCACATTTCAAACAAGAGTTTTCCTTTTCTACATAAAAAGCTTATTCTCGTTCGTATTCGAACTCCAATAACAATTTGAATAGTAAATCTGAGTTTTAGTGGTGTTGGTCATTTTAAGTTGACACATATCTTTTTGCTCGTGTACCAGTGCTAAACGTAGTGCGTCCTGTGGTGCGAGTGTTTCTGTTAACAACTCCCTCTGGATATCATAATTTCTCATTTTGTTGATGAATATATCCCGAATCCACTCCTCTTCTCCGCTGGATATATCACACTTTTCGGCCATTTCCGCAAGTGCTCCCCAGAATTTTTGTTTCGTTTTCCACTTAAAAAGAGGTGTAAGTATTCTCAAAACTCTTGAAATTTAATCCGAAAGATTTTCACGTTAGTGAGTTTCTGTGCAAAATTCTTTTGACTTCCGCTTCCAAGGCAAAAAATAGCATGGATCTGATCTTCTTGTCCGCTTCTTCAATTCTCATCCAAATTTTTAGCTCTGATTTGATTGATGCGATTCCTTGTCCTCGTATCTTCGTTTTTTTCGGCTATTCTAGCGAGATTCCTGGCTAGTCTTGCTTCTTTGTCTTGAGTTTTTTTCTGTTTCTGGGGTTTCTTTGATTTTTGCAGGAGTTGCTATTTTTTTCCGAAGGACTGATGAGGTTGTCTTTGTCTATTTTTTCTTCGGCTATCATTGCCATTTGAAAATCGTCACTCCAATCTTCCCAGGGATTAGGGGGCCAATCGTGTGATTTTGCCAGAATTGAGATACTCTCCTCATGCGTGATTCGTTAGATGAGTGCGCCATTTTAAAATGTTAAAATAATACACCCGTTTAAATGCTAACTAGATTAATCAAGATGAAAAGGATACGAATTAAAATTGTATTAGTAGTGTTCTATCAAATACGAACAATGAGCGTACGGTTTGGTTTCAACCCGAAGGAGTGCGTATGCTTCAAGGTCAGGGTTAGTTGAAACCAAACAAAGTTAGAAAACGATAGACGTCATTTTACTTTTTCTAGTCAATTTTGATTACTTCAAAGTAAAATCGCAGGGGTCAAAGCCTTTTAGTTGTAGAACGCTTTCTCTTCATGGGTTCGACACCTGCCAGCCCAAAGGGCTCCCCTTTGTAGTACTTTTACTCATATATTTTCGCTGACTTACCCTAAAGGTTTTCTAAAAGCGCCTTCGGCGCCAAAAAATACGAATTTCGAGGGGAAGAGCGCGCCGAAAAACGCGAATTTTTGGTTAAAACTTTCCAAAAAGTGCCTCAAAACGCAATTTTTAGCATTATTTTTTTAAAAATATTGCTCGCGTTGCGCAAAATTTGGCTGAAACAGGTTTTTTCAGTGCTATGGAAAAGCTCGGAAAACCAATTTAGTCGACCGAAAAAAAGACCGACAATCTTTTTGAATTTTTTTTGAAAATCGGACCTCCTCGACAAAATCCTAGATCCGCCCCTGATTACAAAGACAAATTGTTGTCTAGATACGCTCACCGTTTAGTGTATGTATTTAGGTTTCTGGAATCCAGAGACAAGTACCTAATTTTTTCTCCAAACTATAGAAGAAATTCTCTTACTAAATTATCGCGGAACCCCCAACAAATTCTTGTAACGTAACTTTTGTCGGCACTTAAGTTTTTTTGCGGAATCCGCAACAACCGGAAATATCATTTGTAGAGGATGTCCACCAAAGTAAGCAAATTCCGCAACTTGTAAGCAGAGACCGCGAAAACGAGCGGATTCCACAAATTGTAAGCGGAATCCTGATTTTGCTCACTGGACTTATCTAAACTAGAAACGTTCTTAAATGAATTTTTCAAAGCTGACCACTTCACCCAGACAATTAAAAGCAAGCCAGAACTAAATAATAGGGCGAAATTTCAGACAAAGAAACTGATGATTGTCAGTGGAAAAACCACTGAGAATTTCAAAAAATTAATAATTCAAGTTCAGAAGTATCAGTCTTTAAATTCTTAAATTATAAGTCTTAAAAGTGGAGATAGCAGGTCCGAAATACTACTGATCAACTGCGCCTCAACATATTGCTGATCAACATATTGCTGATGAGATAGTAGGCGCCTTCTATTCTTGTCTCAAATTTGGTATGTCGAAGCGCAGGAGGTACAATTTTGGTTGAGGCAAAAAAATTTGCTTATTTTCATAACTGTGTATCATTTGTGAATGTGTAATCGTTGTCGTTAAACCTTAAAACATACTCTTTTCCTAGCATTTAAGATCAAATCGGTAAGACAACTGATAATATCAACAATTCAGCGGTTAAAACACACCGGAGTGACATATTAAAGTTTTTTTGATACGTATTAGCATTAGAGATTAACTAAAAAGCGGCCAGCATTAGCGTTTACTTTAATGATACGGATTGGCATTTGAGATTAACTTAATTACGACCCCCATTACCTTCTAGTTTTTTTTTGATAAATATCAGTTCGAATCTTCAGGTCCATTTAGTGAACAAATATTTTGATAGCTCAGACTAACAGCTGATAAAAACTTTGTTTGACGAAGCATCATATTCCAAAAACAAAGAAAAGATTTAAAAAAATGAAACGAAATACTAAATTTTGAACTTGATGTCGGTATAATTTTTCGCGGATCTTGTCAACTCCCCCCCCCCTCCTATTTCAATTTTCTGAAATTCAATGTTGGCTGCCACATTTTCAATAGCTTGAAACTGTTTTTAGGAAATACATATATATAAAAAGTTTTATGTAGGTATTATAAAGTGAGTTGGTGAGTAATACAAATACGAACGCCCGAAAATAAAAACCCAATTAATTTTTGAAATTTTCTAAATGCATATTTCATACAAAAACGGTTGTCGAAAATAATGCATGAATAGGCGAGAAATAGTTACCCGTACCCTGGGGATTTTCTGTGCATTATCTGAAATTCTTTAGTTTTCCTTACATACGTTGATTTTCAAATCTGAAAATTTTATTTCAGATCTTGATAAGAATTTGAAAATGTCACATTTGAAAATTGGATCTGAAATAGAAAACTTTGGGGAGGGTTCTCTTGCTGGAGGGACCGAATGCTGGAAAAATTTCAACCAGTCAAAACCTCTATTCGTTCCTATTGGCTAAATTCCTTTCTCACAAAATCGAAGTCAATATTAACAGAAAATGATAATATAGTAAACATACTAGATGCAGATATAATAGGTGCAGAAGTATTAAAATTGTTCCCAGAAGTATTAAAATTGTTCCAACCCCCATCGATCCGGCATTACTTTCATTCATCTGCTCATTATATAAACGGTCAAAATTAATACTAATGGCCTGGTTTTATTTGCTTACTTTGATATTTTCTCAATTTTACTGAAATTTTTTAATACTCATTTCTGATTGGCTGAAAATCAGCAAAAATAAATTTCAAGCATTCGGTCTCTCCAGTATAGGGGACACCAACAAATTTTAGATATGAATTAACATTGAATAACAAAAATTCAGATCTGAAATTAGATCTGAGAAACCCTTTGTTGAATTATAATAAAAGCATTTCAAGCAAACAATAGAAATTTTGGTTTTTGATGTTTCTGCAATACACAATTATGTTTAGATTAACAAGCGTTAAAAAAATTTCGAATAACTTCACAAACAGTTTTTTTTCCAAATAAATTTCTTGTTTAAACGTTTTAAAAAATTTTCAAAAACTGTTAGAAGACCTATCAATTTTTTGATCTTCCTGCGGTACTTAAGCGTTTCCAATGTTTATCTGATGCTTAGAGAAACATTTTCAGCATCTCTCATTTGAGACTTTGCTGATTACCTGCTAGTAGCTAGCGGAAGCTATCAAATACTATAGAAACAAAAATGGCAAAAATTGTGTCAAAACCATTGCTTTTTCAGATCTGAAGTAACCAAGAAAAATTAAATTTCAGATATGAAATTATATCTGAAATAACCCATTTCTTAAGTATCCAAGCGTTATTTCAACATTTCACAACCCATTTCAGATCTGAAAAAGATTATTTCAGATCTGAATTAGAACATTTACTAGGCACGGGTAACAAGATCTAAAAAGGGGGAAAAGTTAACAAGGTCGATCCTTTTTCTCTTGATATCATATTTTTTTATCTTAGTTTGCATTTTCTTCTTTTATTGCTGTGGTTCCACTTCCTATCTTTTTTGGTTCCACAAACTTGTCGCTCCAAAATCTGTTAAATAATAAAAATAATAGGTAACTGGATTCCATTTATAATTTGGGGTTTCCGATAACAGTTTGTTGACTTCACTGATAAAATGCTTACAAAATCTACTGCACGTTTGAATAGATATTTGTTTATGGGTTACGCAAATTGTTCTAAAACGCGCCAATTTTGATCCGGATTTCGCAAACTTTGCTTCTTTTAGATCAATTCGGAGTGATAAAAGGTTATAGCCATTTGTCTGTAATTTCTACATCAGCAAAAAAACGAGAAAAATAGACTCTTTAAATTTAGCGGACTCTTTATTTTAACGAAGAACGAATTTTAAATTTTCCATTTAATGATTTATCAATACACGCTTCACTTTACTAGTGCGCTTCAATGTTTTTCATATGGGATTTATCAGCTCACCTAGTTCGATTTTTTGTAAATTTCCACACATGTTCGGAGAACATAAGCTTTGAATTCGAACTTGTGTTCGAATATGCTTCGACCACACTTAGTTCGGCCGCACTTTAGGCTTGACTAGGATTCGAAATAATTGTCGACCATGATTCCAGAAAAAAAACATTTTCGGAAAAATAGTGATTTTTCTTGAGTTTTTTTTGCAATGATAACCGAAGCCAGAATATGCTTTTGCATTTGCACCGCAAGCGTTTTTTTGTTTTTCTATTCAAAAGTAATTGTTTTCAAGGTTCCTCTTCTGCTTAGGTTTTCCATGACATGGTCATCGAAAAAATTGTCGAGATTGGGAAGTTCAGACGTACAGAAAGGTTTCAAGCCAATGATTACTCGCCCTCCAAAGCCGAGGATCCGGGCTACGTGACAAACTGGCTAATAGCGTTTCTGGCGGAAGAAAACAACTCCATACCTGAGATCCGGTTTCACGCCAAGATCCACGACAGATCAGATCAGTTCATATTGGTCTTCGTGAGCCTCCTTGGCGTCGGTCTACAGAGTACTTTGCCGTGAAATATGTTCTGAAGCATTACCTTACTTGGCATTTGGGTCCGGTCCATGGAATGCTGGCGTACAAAAGTGTTGTGCTCCTAACTCTGGTTGAACTGGCAAAATTAACGGTTAATTGCTTGGATGTTGACATGGGACTTCAAATGATGACAAAAATAGCGCGAAGAATGAAAAAACTCGAAGTTCTAAGTGACGATGCGCCTGAAGAAGAAATATATCAACAAATGAGGAAAGATATTTTGAGTGTCTTCGAAAAAGGTTCGTTTGAATACAATTAGTGCTCTAATGGAACATGAAAAAATAAAATTTTGTTTCAGTTTTTAGACAGCTTTCCACTTTGCTTTGTTATTTATACTTATATTTTAACAAAACATACTCAAACAGTATCGAACATAAATTCGAACAAAATTTCGGAAACACAATTAAACACAATAATTGAAATAAGTCGAGCTAGAACAACTTTTAAATTTGGATTTTTACCTGATTTTTGCTTGCGAATCGTATACTTGGTCTCTATTGGTTAAGTCTGCGCCGTAAGGTCCCAAACTGAAAAAAAACATGTTTTTTGGGTTACCAAAAACTCGTCACCGCAAAAAGCTAGAATTTGTATAGTAAATTTTTATAAAATAAAAGTTTCAGATATAAAAAAAATTAGAGCAATAAACGGTAAAGCACAGTTATCATTTACCCTTGAAGCTAAATCATTTTGATGCTGAAAAATTTTTTGGTCACTAAAAATTGTCTCTGCACTGTTTCAACAGAGAAAAATTAAGCTTGAATACATCCGTCACCTTGCATAAATTGAGATTTCGAAAACTTATATTTGTCTAATTATCTTCAGCAGGACAATTAATTTGAAAAACCGATGGGTCCAATCCCCCTTATCTCCAAAATACTGACGTGTAATCTGTGGCCGGCCGTGGAGTCAGAATTCCGTTCTCGCGGAAAAAATATCAATTTGCTAGCACTCATTCAAAAGGAATTGATAGCGGCTGCCGTTATTACTCAGACCACTGCGAATTGGGAGAAACGTTGTTTTTTGGGTGTGGTTTTTATTTGAAAGTGCCGACAAATTTTGTCACCGGTTCGTTTCTAGTTTTTCCGTTTTTTTTTTTCCCAAGTAAAGTCTGGTGCCTCAAATAAGCAAGTTATCTTGCTGCGAGAAATTTAATTTTTTTTTCAAGTTTATTAACGCTTCCTTTCCTCGACAAAAACTTTTTACAAACTTCCAACAAAGTACAGAACATTTTTTTAAAATATGAACCATTTTTTCCCGAATCATATTTTTGAGTCATATTTTTTATACAAATTTTTTAATTGTAAAAAATCGATTGTATGTAACCCTGAAACTGATCATTGAGATCTTATGCAGTTGTTAATAGTCAATTTTTGTCTAAAAAGTTATTAAATTTCTAAAATCTGACTTTTTTGCTCCATAAAATCTGTGTAATACCAGATTTTGTATAAAGCAAAATTTATTGCCAGGAAAATGGTTTTGTTTTGTCTAAAAATTACCATTTTTGTTTTACTAATTTTTTTTTCAAAAATTGGAA